CTTTGGGTGAAAGGCCAAGCATCAGTTGTCTTCCTGGGGAGGTCTCACAGCCTGAGCTGACTCGCTGATGTCTTATCAGAAGCACAGAAACCTCCTGAAGCAGGTGCTTGCTCCTTTCTCCTCCTAGATGATCTGCCGCAGGATGCAAAAGTCAAGCCCAAGAGGCATTTTTCTTCCTGCTCTCTAGTCTACCAGGGGCGATTCCCAGAAAGGGCAGGTTCAGCTTCTGTACAAATCTACTGGCAGAGCCCTCTCTGCAGCTGGCAAAGCCTCTCAGCTGAAAGAGACACCTCTGCAAGCCCTCGTGGAAGAGACTTTTGAAGTTATTTGCCCTGGCTTGGCTGTGATTATATATATCCAGCTGCAAAGATTTCCTTTGGACTAGTCACTGCTCCTGCTGCTTTGCTGAAGGAAAATGCCATGGATAACCTTCAGTAACAACAGGTCTCTGCACAGAGGACAGAGGTGTTTAACATTAGAGAAACATATGTTCAACTTATTTTTAATATACCCTGTTAACGTTCTGTTAGCAAAAGCATTGGGCAAAGTTAACTCGGAGGTTATGGTTGTTCCTACATTCAGATTCCCTCCTGCATTCTCTGCAGGGGGAATGCTATAAAAATACAAGTATATTTGTGTATTCTTTCCTTTACTGCAGACTTGCTTAGAGCCTTTTCCTTCATATGGCAGCCTCACTGTCTTGCACCCCCTTCCACCGTAATTGGCTTAAATATTGCTGGAAGCTGGGCTGAAATGCAGAAGGACAGAGTGCAAATATGCTGCTTCTCCCATCACTAAGCCTTCTTCCTTTTCCAGGACCCCATCCATTCCCAGTAGAGACTGTCGTTTCTTTTAAACTCAGTCATGAAGATATGTTGCTACCAACTGAAAACTGTATCAGACACAGATTTCAGCCACATGAGGAAAGGGAAGAGTGGGAAACCAATTTGAACGACAGTGTCTGAGGGATAGCGGTACGCTTGGCACCTAGCAGGAGCCCTCCTGCCCAGGACACACACAAGCTCATCACAGCACTGCTGCCCCAGCGCAAGGGAGTATGAGTAGCACGTAGGCAGAGTAGTGAAGGCTCTGCATTTAGTAGGCAACTGTTTCTGTTAATGCTCTCTGTGAATAATACCCTGAGAGCCATAAGATGTCTAAGCAGGAGAGTTAAGAGGTCCGTGTCCTCTGACTCTTATGTAGGCCACTCAAACTCTCACTCCAGATAGGAGGATGTGGAAATTTTTCAACCTTCAAGCCACAAAGTCACCCACTCCACTTTGCCCTCTCAACAATGCACATTCTCACCAGAAGGAAAGCACATTTGTTTGTTTGAAATGAAGATAATTAGTCACTTGAACAGATGACAAAGAACATGGCAGGTTTTCTGCCACCAACAATGCAAAAGTCTAGCTGCTTTGCTGGAGATGGGAATGAATTCATGGCGGTTCCGTGGCCTACAAGTCTCTTCTGCTTTTTCTCAGTGAACCCTCAAGTATGGGTCTGTGAACACTATAAGACTAAAAGCAAGAAGCCTGTTAACATGTCAACAGCAAATTCAAATCTCCCTTCATACTGAAATTTCCCTTTATAATTATTTCAAAGATTTGAAGCTGTCATTTGTGCTATATTGCATAGTATGAGAAAATAAAGGAAATAAAATATAATATGGATGAAAAATACATAAATTCTAATTGGTCAAATTAAAAAAATGCTTTCTCCCAAAACATGTCTGTTACTGAAGTCCTTTAGAAATACTTATACTTGTCAATTATGAACCGTACTAGCCTTTGCTATTTTCAAAGTAGCAAATTTTAAAATAATTTTAAATAAATAAATAAATAAATAGTATTTAAAAGGAAATTTTTAAATATCTTACTAACCAGAATAACAACATCTTTCTTTCATGGCATGCTTACAGTTTATTGTGAAAGCCTTTCAAAGACAGGAAAAGGGAAGAGAAAAGAAAAACATAAAGCCTAGTCATTTTTTCACTTTTTTGCTAAAGCTGGAACAGCCTTCTGTTTTTTTTTTTTTCACCAAACTGTATTTTCACACAGAAATGTTTACATTAAATTAAAATATATTACACAGATTGCATATCCAAAGCAAAGATACAGATCTTCTAACTCTAAAATGATAACTACACCTTTAGATTGAGTTGGCAATACTTCTTTATATTAGCTATTCTTTGTTACCTTCTGCAAAATAGCAGCATTATCAACAGTATGCCCATGCCCAGATGGGCACCCATCTGGATTTGGACCAGTACCAGAACAACTTTCTTTTCTTCAGTTGCTGCATAGCTTCAGTCATTTCTGTCAAACCAAAGTATGTTCCTTCTTAGGACAGATCTATTTTTTTTTTTAATTTTGCTGGCTTAGTGGTGCTAATTGTTAGGAAGGAATCAAACAGCAAGATTGCTCTGCTAGCAAAAAAGTTGCACACAGATGTATCTTACACAGGCAAAAGAGCCCTCCAGCCAGCAGTTTCTCAAAGTCAGAAGGCTGTGCTTCTATTAGGAGCTTTGAGAACAAATCCGTGTTGATAAAGCCTTTGTAATGCAGGCTAGCCCTTAGTCTTGGTCAGGAGTCAGGGTTGAAATAATGCCCCAGGGCCGTGGAACACAGAAATTACCACATTACATGAGCAGAAATGACTAATCTCAAAAGCTAAAAAGAACGATCTAAGGAACAGATAATGTCCCTTCTAGTTATTTTTTTTCTTCCCTTCCTGGCTTCCTCTCCATCCATTGGACCCAGCTGCAGTCTTAACACCCAGCTCAGCATCTCTTTGTCTCTTGAGCTCCTTCCAGTATGTTCTAACTTTCATGAAATCTTATAGTGGTGGGTTCCACGTATTAATCATAAATTCCATAAAGTAATAGTTTATTATCAACTTCTGGATGTCCTGACACCCAGAGAGATTACTGCCTAATCAAAGGTGTTTTGATACCGGAACAGTTTAGATAGCATGTACATTATTTTTGCATGGCTCATACTACTAAAACTATTAGGAAATCAGTAGACTTTGGTCTCCACTGAGAGGCCAACACTAACAAAGACACATAAGCATAGTATGAGAAGAAGGGTGGGTTTTTTTCCCATACCAGCTTTTTTTCCCCATACCCATAGCATTTTTAGTGCAATCAGCATGAAAACAATAATTCATATATGCATTCCTTGCTACTTATTTATCAACATTTCAGTTGCAAAAATACTGACATTCATAAGAAACCCCTATGTTGCTTTATCATCACTGCCTTTACTCTCTCTCCCCGTCTTTCCTTTTGGGTACTTTGAGTTGCTCAGATAAGTTATCATCTTTTTTGTAGGTGTAGGTAAATAGATCTTCCACACACAAACTTAAATCCTGTCAGACTGCTAGCACTGCCAACGCTCAGAGCGATGCCCTGCACAACAGACAGAAAAATATAAAACGCACATTAATCGTTAGCCTTGTAGCCCAAGTACCTTGTTTGATAAAGGATATTACAGTGACAGAAGTCATCCTTAGGTTGCTGAGGGAGCTTGTAGCAGAGAAAACACCTTCCTGCAGGGCCAGCACTCAGGACCCTTTATTAAAGGCTAATTTCATTTCCTCATTACTGTGAAGTATGAGGAGATTATCAGTACCAGGAATTATCAGTTTCATTCTCTCCTTTAAAAAAAAAAAGAAAAAGCAGTGTGCTTTTATTTTTTTCCCTTAAGAAAAGGTGAACACAGCAGCATCTTGCAGAGATGCACCTTTGCAGCTTAGGATGCTGCAAAACCTTTCACTTCCAGGGAGCTCTCACAGAGAGCAGGAATAAGCAAAAAAAAAAATCTGAAGGAGGACCTATGTATTCACACCAATGCTGTTCACTTTTAATGTTCTGAGGACCAAAACATAAGAAAGGAAGAACACAAGGGGCTTGGGAGCTCCAGGACCTACTCCCTGCCCAGACCACAACCCAGCACTGGCTGAGGGAACACAGAAGCCAGGGCTGGACATGCCACCACGCAAACACGGCTCTTCACTAGGCAGATCTGCTAATGTTGATTGCAGCCCTGGCATTCAAAGGCACACTTAGCCCTCAGCAGCTCTTGCCCTTCCGAGATGCCCAGCATTGCTTCATGTCTCTCACCTTGGTTTGGCCGCATTTGCTCAGAGATGAAATTAATTCCTCAAGCACAGCAGGGCACTGCTGGAAAGAGCAGAGGAAGAACCTCAGCAACTGCAGGCTTATTGCAAGGAGTTGTTTAAGCACCAGGCATGCAGGAAGCCATCCCACTGTCCAGAAAGACATTCTGGGAAGAAATGTTTGGGAGGTGCCACCACATGTGATTGAGGAAAGGACTGTGTTGATCAGGGGTCAGTCATAAACTTGCTAAGCCTACCGGTAGCTTTCAATGCTACTTCATTGACTTCGACCTCAAAACACAATGCCTCTGTAACTCATCCTTCCTCTTCCTGCCTCCTCTTCCTCCCTCTCTAAAAGCCCTGACCTGCATTAGTGGAAGTTTAAGATTCTACTTACAGATTTTTTTAAAGGAACTCTGTGCCTGATTTAGAGAAATCCCCAGTGACCCCTCCCACAAAAGTTTCCTTCTTTAAGAGCAAAGTGTCTGTGTTCAGCTCACTGTGCTGCAGCTAGGCCAGTGACAACCAGGCAGTTTTGTGAAATGAATCAAAGGAACCAACAGCTTCTCTCTACAAATAGTCTTTTCAGTTGAGAAAACAAAACAAGAACAAAAAACAAAAAAGTGATATTTTTTGTAAAGAGAAAATGATAGCCATCACAGACGGGTTTGCTGTGATACTTCTCTTTTTTTCAGTTGTAAAGCCTCTATCTTGAAAATGATTCCCTTCCTAACGAGTCCTGCTTTTGGCACTATTTCCAGCGATGAGGTCTCTATTGTAATTGAGACCACAATATGCCTTAAATTAATTTTTTCAGTAGACATGATGTCTGTGTGAGCCATGGAATAATAATGTCTTTGCTGTGTGTCCTTTTTTAGGAGCATCTGAAAGCTTTTGACCGAGAAGTAAATGCATTTGTGGACTATATGTTTGGACCTCGAGGTAAGTTGCTCCAACAACAGCCCTGTTGGGGAATAATTCCCATCCAGGTTAATACTCGACAATATTGCGGTAACTAGAAGCCGTCACGTTTTTCCAGATGAATAATTTCTATTCAAATTTAAAAATTAAAATTAAATTTAAATTTGAAGAAAATCACATTTTGAAGTCCTTTGTTTCTGAAAATATCATAACATTTCAAATTTTCCTCCTACTGTAGATAAAAATGAATTCTGAAATCCTGGATTTTCCTGAAAGTAGATGTTCTATTTCAGGACCAATTCTCAATTCTCATAATCCAGTTACTGTGTGTTCCAGCAACCTAGAAAATAGCCTAATCCAGAGGGATGCTCAGTGCAACAGCAAAGAAGAGCTCTCAGCATCCAGGATGTGCAAAATCTCAATAAACCAATAGGCAGGGTGGGAGAACAGTTGCATCTTTCCACTTCCTAATAGTACTTTCTAAAACTGTACAGACTAGAATAACTCAAATAACTACAGTGATACTTTAGCAGAGCTTAGAGATGCCTTACGCTTTGTTTGGCTGAAGCAGAATAACAGGCATGCCAGGGGCTAGACCAAAGGACAAGGAAACTAAGTAGGACCAGGAAAAGAAAAAAAAGGGCTATGGCAAGACGAGGACAGATTTTCAAAGTCAGGGCTAACATTAGGACAGGGACTACACAGCTAAAGGAGGAAGGTAAGAGAGGGGCTTAAACAACAGACTTCAAGCTTCACGTCTCTGTGAGGCCATCTTGATGCTGGCCAACTTATGGCGCTCAGCTTATTATGGTGTTCAACTTTACGAATAGCCCTGCAAACCTGGAGGAGGCGCCAGAATTGCTGCCTGTGATGAAGGAGCTGTAGCTTATGCATTCTCATTTTGTGGTGATAACATTTGCCAGGTCCCAGAAACAGTTCTTGCTTAATTAGGAGAACAAGGGAAAGAAAACTGTAGCATTCCTAAAACCAAGGAATTTTCATGTCTTAGCTGTCTGAATGGGTACAAAATCCTTTCTATCAACGGTGCAGTTGACATGAACCCTTTAAAAAAAAGAATTCTAGTGATGAGTGAACAGCTTGGGAACTGCAGCAGAAGTGATCAAAACAAGTAGAATAAGTTTGTTTTTTTTTAATTAATAGCTGCCACAGTCAAACATTTTAATAACAATAAACAAATGTAATCACAAGTATAAAAGTACTTATTTTTCTTTTTAAACGCACATGATGTTTTCCTTCATTCCTCATTCCTCGCTGATTCACAACAAACTCTTTGAAGGGATGAACTGTAGTTAATCCAGCACAGAATACCATGCAGATTATTTGGGGCTTTTAGAAAGCAATTTAGTAAAATAAGTATTATTTGTACTACCTTCCAAGTATATCACCACCCCTCTACAGACACCAATGCCAAAGATAAAATTCTTGTCCGTGCCTCTTATTTGAGCAAGTAGTATAATGACACCATATCATACATTTCATGACTAACACAACTCTCTGCAATATATTTATACACACAAATAATTGACGGTAAAATGCAAACAGTTTTAAATTGGATAGAGTGACTCCACAGATGAAAATCTAATACGTTATTGAGAGCTTCTGCCAAATGTCTAAAGTCAGCAAACCATTCCCTTTCTTTCTCTCCTCTGTTTTTCATCCACTTTACACGTTTCATTCAGCAGCAAGATGACTTAGAATGATAGAATCTGGTAATTTGTTCTTTTAAAAATCAGTCCCACATTTACAGTTCATGTTTTAAGGTAGTAGCTCCTGAAATAACAGTGTCGTTGTTCTAGTTACAGTTATCACTACCAAGTGTGGCTGAGGGTACAAGAGGAAAAGGAAATGCCTAGAACTAGCTCCTGAAGGCAATTTCTAACCATACTAGTAGTTATCGATCGGGTTAACACAGGCTACATTACTGCACTACTACAGTAAGGGATGTGCTATCCAAGATTTGAACATGATTTAGATATTAGCCTGCTCTGTGCCTCTGTGCACCACTGTCAGCTGGACTTTGTACGCAAATTTACTACAACTTTTGCTTTTGAACTAACTTTCCAAGTCCTTTGGTTCCGGTAATAGAGGCCATGTGCATTCCCATTAGTTCCATCTCTTAATAAAAAGTGGGCTTACAATTTGGTGTTGGTCCTAATGATCCTGGATAGGAGATTATCTAGACTGAAAACAACATGCACAGAAGTGGAATAAACATATTATTCTGTAAAAGAGCATTTTTTGAGAGCTTTCTTGTTCTGCAGGGTATTTTTTTGGTGTTATGCAAGACTGAGAAACATGGGATTGCAGTAAATCAATCTAGTTGAACACTTACTTGTTTTATCTCTTGAGAACAGATATATTTCAGCAAAGCTATGATAAAGTAATAAACGCTCTTTCTCTGCTCAATAGTAACAAAACATTGCTAACAAAACTGTTCAGCCTCAGCACCAAAAAGTTCTAAATCTACTCAGACACCAATTGGCCAAAGCTGTCCAGAAACTCTGAATCAGAAAGTTTCTAAACCTCACTGATAAAAGCTTGGTACATTTAAAGGTCTGGGAGGCCTGCCACTGATTTCAGAGGAGCCAAAATTTCATCCCCAGGGTCTGGCACATCATGGCCAGCAACTGTGAATGAGCTCATTCAAGAGGCAATTGGAGCTTGTGTGCGCCTGCTCCTTCCCTTGTTGCAATCCAGCACTTTCACACTGCGTCTTTATTCACTGCCTTGGTCTTGAATTCAGATGCTGTATGGGTTCAGTATTGTAAAGCTAACACTTTCTCCTATAGACAGTGGACCTTTATCTTACTTGGACATGGGGTAACCTACTGTCAGTCAACAGAAGTCCTTTTGATCTCTCTTCATCTTCCAATAACTTTTTTTTTTTTGAAATATATTCTCTTTCCTCTCCCTTGCTGCCACATAAAAATCTCTCTCTTTGCATGACTCAAGGATAAGCGTAAGTGGAGATAAAGCAGTCTTCAGGCTGCAGTTCATAAAACACTCTTCACTAATAACTGCGTTACCCTTGATACTGCGGTCAGGGCCAGAAAATAATCAGTAAGGGAACATGTTTTAATAGTTTATGTAGAAGCTTGAAATTGAAATAGTATAGGTTTTAAATATGCTGACCTGAACAAGCACAAGGAGTCCTGCTTTTGTATGGATCAGCCCACATTCTTCTACCCTCCTCGTGGCAACGCGAAAACTAGTTTTCTGAGCATACTGGGGAAGAACTCAATGCTGTTTAGTTTAATTTGTCATCTCATTTATACTAATTACTTTTGCTCTTTGAGCAAATATATTGCTTTGTTATCAATTGATGCCAACTGGCCTTTGTGCAAGTGACCTTTATGCACCAAACGTTGAAATCCCTCCCCGAGCCTAGGTAGGGAGACCCTTCTTTAAATAGCAGTCTTGCTGAAATTACTTCTTTCTTCATCTTCATTTAGGATATCAATTAAATATATTAAGTCCTTACATTCATAAAAGATATGCTAGATCAACATTTAGACAACTTCACATATCCTATGAGTCCTGTGTCTTGTTTAGAGCTCGCATGAGAGCAGAATCACCTCAAATACATTCAGTGCTGAGCTTCTCAAACGGCTTGTAAACCTTAAGAGGGATGTTGGAAGTATATTACTCCCATACCGAGGTGATCTTAAATAGGCATTGAGATCTTAAGACAGAAAATCAGCATTCAGGCTTTGTAATGCTTTGGTGCAAGACCACCCTAAAGGAAAGACTGTATTTTGTGACACATGGTTTTCTTTCATCTTTGCTTTGGTCCTATACCCCTCCCCTTCAAGAGAGTGAAGGTGTTTTTTTGGGAGCCCTGAAGGGAGAGTCAAAACCATGAGAGTACTGGATTTCCAAGGTGACTTGGGCCTGGTTGGAAGTCATTCCTGCAAAGGAGCTTATAACCCACATAGAGACCAAATCCAACAGATGAGTGTTGCAGCCACTGGGAAGCAAGGTGGGAAGCAGAGGGAGGCTGCAATTATAAAGCATGCAGGTGTTCATAGTCCTGTTCATAAGCAGATTACGCTAAATCATGTAAAGCCTCACTTTACGTATACCTACGTATATATATGTATGTATTTATAAGAAAAGAATACTCTCTCAGTGACAAAGCAATGTTGCAACATGTAACAGTTTATAAACGCTCAACCACACTTGGTTTGTGTGTCCTCCATAGCCTAGTCCTTCCCAAACTCCACTCAGTTAGTAAAAGCAGTAGTTTTTCATGCACTGCGAAAACCTTTTTCTTGTTTTACAATTTTCAACCTAGTGTTGGTCTTTCTAAAAAGTAAACTAAATAATTTAAAATGGTTTCTAAGATGAGAAGGAACCACTGTGACTGCGCAACAGCTTTTCACTAAGTGATTTCTTCACTTACCCTGTAACCCATGAGAGATTCTTGAAAACTAGACAAACCTGAAAGTGAAAAACATCAATTCATGATCTGAAGATTGTTGCTGGGGAAAATTGACTCTAAAATTGACACCTTTGCTCATGACATCCCAATCACAGGACAGTGAGCAGTGCCTCCAGTTTGGCACATAGGGTTAGACTTGTATACACTCAAGTATCTGACTATATCCAATGGGATTACTTGCGTGAATAAGGCAAGCAAGACTGGACCTTAATATTTCATTTCAGGATCATATAAGTGGGACAGATAAACTACAAGAGAGCAAGGCTTACCAAATATCACTGATGACCAGCAAAGTAAACATTTGTTTGTCATTTCCTTTTCTTATTTAATGCTTTTGAAATATCCTCCCCCCATACAAATGTTTTCTAGCAAATAGTATATACCGTCATATACACATGGCAAATGCAGAATAGTATATGAACTGGCAGCTTTTCCTGCATGCTTTATATTTAATACTGTCTGCAGGATGTAAGTTCACTGAACAAATTAAGATATGATTTAATTCAATATTAAATTACAGAAAAAAGAGTTTATGAATATTTTCTTCTTTTCATTTTCTCTGTCCTACTAAAGTGAGGAGATTTAAATGATCTTAATTGTTTGCAAATTTTATGTGGTTTTCACCACACATTCAAAATGAATATGCTGTTTTGGGGAGTTAAATACAATAGACAGTTCCTGAAGTGAGCAAAGCATGGCAGGTTTCCTCTTGTGCTTTTAGCAGACTCCTTTTGCAATATGCCACGCCTTATTTTAAGCAATACTTTACCAAAAACTTCTTCATTGCTTGTTGCTTGTATTTCTTTTCAGATTCCAGGGTTAGAGGATGGTTCCTTCTGGACTCTTACCTTCCCACATTTTTCCTAACTGGAGCATACCTACTCTGCATATGGCTGGGCAACCAGTTCATGAGGAACAGGCCTGCTTTCTCACTCAGGGCTCATCTCATTGTATATAACCTTGGGATTACACTGCTCTCCTTGTATATGCTCATAGAGGTAAGCGTTCTTTAATGCAGCATAGCTGAGAAGGCTGAGCAATATACAGTTTTTAGCAGAACTATTTTAGCAACAGACAGTTTTCCTAAGAAATTGATCAGCAGCAGCAAAGTAAATTTAACATCAATAAAAGTCCCTGAAAAGGCTTAGCAGTTGGAGAGTGACTTGTACAGTACCTTCTCGGCTTAGATTTCAGCATATTTTAACTGTGATTACTGAGCTACAGTTCACCCCTGGAGCTGCTACTAACGCAACATTTACAAGCCTGAGTTTGAATCCGCAGCAGCTGCTCAGTTCAAACCTGCCTGCACATCACTCTTCAGCACCCACCAATATGCCAAAGGTTTGAGATTGTATGAATATCTGTGGATTGTATGAATATCTGTGGAAGGTTATTCTTTGAATAAATGCCCATTTGTAAATGTGAACAGATTTATATATGAGAGCAAGAACTGAGCTATATACAGTATTGACAATTCAGTGTTATTTTTCCCTTTCTCCTGTCTAAAAAGCTTCCACCGTTTAGTCAGAGAATAGAAACATTACGTAGCAGATAGATAGATCATAAAAACCCGCAGCGTCACCCGAGAGTGAGTGCAGAGGGGACTTGGAGGCTGAATACAGTCACATAGACTATTTTGCAAGCACTTATCAAGAAGGAACATGCAGAAATTGGGATCCATTCATAACGAGAAGAGAGGTTTGAACACATCTGACGATTTCTCCAGAGCAAAAGTTTCAAGCAGCTCTTCTCTGCAGAGCCTTGTGTGCTCTCGCTCCCTGGAGAAACAGGGCTGGCCTGAAAGTCACGTTAAGTCTGGCACTCATCCTGCCAGCACCCAGCAATCGCAGCTGGCGACAAGGCAGCAACCCTTCAGGCTGCAGCAGGGCACAGAGGCACAGGTCACTCTCCTCTCCTGTTAGGTTACGTTTTGGCATTTGTTAATGCATTGCAGCTCCATTCCACACTGCGTACGCGAGTCTGACTGAATTCAGGCTTTGGCTTCCTCAGACTCTCAGTCATGAGGAGAGCTGGCCTGGAATAATCCAGCCCCCACGCCCTCCCTTGAAACCACAGCGTCTGCAACTGCTGCACAGTAACAGCAGCAGCATATCAAGCTCAGAAAAATCATTTCCCCCAGAGCTGATAATTAAGGTGGGGAGCAGGAGCTAACAGTAACTGCTTTGGTAATAATTGAGAGCTCCCCAATGTAAGCTTTGTGATAATTTAGGTACTTTAATATTAAATTATCATCCCTTGCTTGTGACCCTAAAAAGCAAATTCTAAAAGACAAAAAACACAAAACATTTCTAACTTGGCTTAAAAGGCGACCTAGGGAATGAAAAGCCTGCCCTGGCTGAAGGACGTGCTTGATTTTACGGCGTGACTTGCGGAGGTGTGAGCTGACATTGCAGCCCTGCCCAGCCAGCCCTCTCAGCATTTCTAGCTGCCCGTTCTCCTGGCCACAACAGTGGTTTCCGTGAGAAAAACAAGGGCTGACTGTTCTGTCAGTGGGACAAGAAATTTTGCTTTACACAGAAGCCAAATGGAACCCCAAAGCTTTCAAGTTTTAAATGGATTTGAGCTAAGCACCAGGTGATCAGCCTGGTCAAAAGGCTGAACAGCAGTTTAGATGTGTGCCTTCACACAAGGGACTGATTGTGCTACGCAGAGCTTCACCTTGGCTAAAGCTCCAGCTGGCTTCAGCAATTGCTCTGGCTGTCTGAGAGTGCAGGATCAGGCCCAGAGCAAATCGGAAACAAGCACAGGCCCAGTTGCTGGAAGGCTTGATGACTCTATATTGACTTACTCCAGAATTTAAATCAGCACTTAGGTGGTTAAATCCCCATTCTGTTTGAAGGTATACAGATAACTGCCTCCAGTAGCAAGGCTCAGCGAAAAGGGCTGGTTGCACAGAAAGAAAATAAAAAAAAAGCTATCTTTTCCCTTTGCAGCCTGATTCAGCCTACTAACAAGCAAATGAATAAAGGAAAAGAATTATAGCAGGCCTGACTTATGTGAATGGAGTGAACTAGATTTTAGCCACCTTCATATCCTTGTGGGGACTGCGTTGAGTCAGCTCCTATTCAGCTGCCTCACTATTGTTTCCTTCCCGAGGCTAACTTTGCTGCAGGTAATTACTGAGTTGTGCGAGTCCTCAGATTAGCCCTTCAGACCTTGGCTCTGTAGCTGGAGGCCGCTGGCTTAACCCTCCCTATGCACCCTTAACCCTGCCTATGCAGTTGGGCATAGTGGGCAGTGGCTCACAGCTTCACACTGTGCATTTGTCAGGAACTCAGGAGATACCATATCTGATGTGCTTGATGCTTTGTCAGTTGTTTTTTTGCAGATTTCACTCTCAGCTCTGGACTGTCCATCAGGCTGGTTTCACACTATACAAGACCAGCTTCCATAATAGGGGCTCCATATTTTTTTGTAGCCTATTTACCTGGTCCCTATTCACGGCTTTTCCCTCTGAAGGAGCAGAATGGAAGTTGAGACTTGCAGACCAGCACGAGGCAGCTGCTGAGGGAGGAAAGGCAAATGGGAGGGCAGAAGTCTTTTTCACTAGTGACTAAAGTTAAAATGAGTCAACATTTCAAAGTGTCTCACATCCAAAGCTTTTTTTCTGGATCCTGCTCTCTGTTTGTCTTTTATCAACTGTAAGCTGTTTAAGGCAGGAGTTACCCCTATTTAGAGCAGTCTGTTCAGCCGTTTCATATGTAAAAGCAGTTGATTTCTCCAGTAAGTATGTTTCAGGACCAATTCCTAATTGGAGAGGTCTAACTGTCTTATTCCTCCATCCTTCCATTTCACCACCACCCTTCCTATCTCTGTTATGGATTAGCCACAGAAACAGTTGTGAGAATTATTCTACTCATCTCTTCTTTGTTTTGTTTACAAAACGCAACTCACCTTTTCTTGTGATATCTTCAGAATGGAGTAGGTGCTTCCTAGACATTCAAAAGAAAAAGACCTAGTGCATGTTAGGGTGCATCTCCTCTGAAGACTGTCCTGCATGCTGTTTTTAACAAGAAACATGATAAACCAACCTATGGGGATATCTGTGCTGACATAATTCGTCTCCTCCCTGTGCTTGAACTAGCTTAGCCATCTGTTGTCTACGGTGGAGTCAAAGAACCTCAGGGCAGGAAGACAAAGTTATAGTAGGGAGTCATAACACAATGGCTATATGGCTATGTTTTAAAATTTTGAAGGGCAGATCACCTTTTGTGCCAGAGCTCCATGCATCACACGATGGGCATGAAGTGGCTGGGAGCCAGTTTTAGCTCCATGAGCCTTGAGGCCAACCAGCCTCACAGGTATATTGGAGAAGATCTCCAGGACAGCTCTGAGATGCGCCACTAGCATAGGGTCAGATAACATCCCTACTATCCCCAAAGGAAAGGGTCCAAAGGAGGAGGACTCTGCCCAACTCTCTGTTTGGGTCAAGAAAGAGAATTAGGTGCCTTTGAAGGCCTCCCAGAAGGAGAGTTTATTAGACCTTAACTTAGACTTCTGAGTTAGATGAATTTTCCTGAAGTCTTCAAAGGCACCCACTTCTCCCTATTGAGTATAATGGGGGAGCGAGGCACCTGTTTATGAAGCATAGCTTTTTAAATTAACATAAAATTTAAATACAAGTAACGTGCTTAAATCAGGTAGCCTGCAGGAAGGGTGCTAGTGCAATACTGAGGGGCAAGAAGACAATTCCCTCCGCTCCTGCCACGACAGAGGAATGATGTATCAGGTATTTGTTATTAGTTGTATGCTCTACTGTAGCATTAGGTCTCCATAGACTAGATCACATCTACTGATCCAACATTTTTCAGAAACATTACCAAAAATCTACACAAAGAAAAGCAACCACCACCATTTTTTAATACAAATCAAAACTTTTAACAATTTCACTAAAAATATACCTTTTCTCTGCATAAACCTCTGCCTAAGATCCTAAAAGAACCAGCTACGAACAGAAAGCCAACTCAATAACCAGCAGTATCACGTCTGTCCCAGAGGTGAACTCAGCTGGTCATCAAGCTCTCTTGCAAGCTCTTTTGTCGCCCAGGCACTGAGAACACCAGGCCACTGGCATCATCTGGGTCAGATTAAAAAGGAGATCTAGAGATGTATATCGTTAATGTATGGGTGGCATGGTTGCTAAAGCTGCTTACTTCCCTGGGTAGCATTATAGACGTATTAGAAACCCACAGGATTCGAGAAGTGTGAGCAAGCAACAATACACATGTGGAGAAGCAAGGCTTGCATGTGAGACCCCTTGATTTGGAGCAAAAGTCAGCATTGCCTGCTGGGTGCCAAAGGGAAACTGCACAGGTATTGCAAACCAAGTGCATTAAGCTTTTCGGTGAGGCCAAAAGAAAATTCTTATATCCAGCAGGATAAAAGAAGCAATAAGATTACTTGCACTTTGCCTGTCTCTAAAAGCTAAAAATCACCCCCACATTGAGTCCAATTTCCGAATTACAGCAAAACTAGAAAGCAAATCTGTAGATACCAAGGTGATGTGAGGATTCCCAGGAGTGCCAGAATTGCTTTCTCTGTATCCTCTGATAGCAGGGGCAGGTCAAAAGCACAACACCTAACACCATCAGGGCCACCATTTTTAGCCCTACACACTGCAAATGAGGTAATGTCTCATAAATGACTAGAAAGTCCAGATTTGGGGATAGCAAAAATTTGGGCAAAATTAAACAAACAAACCAAAAACAGAAGGAACACCTAAACTCTATGTTATTCCATCATTATAATGGCTGACATGAGAAAGATTTGCTTCCTAACAGGCAGAAACGTTTCAAAGATAGAGCTTGAGTCATAGAAGATCTAAGTGAAGTTTTAACAGCACAGGCAAAGATGAAAGAGGGAAAATGTAAGTGCAGGTTGTTTGCAACTATCCTAGAATTTCTCTATAGAAATCCATAGATTATTAACTTTAACATAATTGTTTACAAAAAAAACCCTCAAACAAATGGTTTTTAGT